ATTATATTTACTATAATTTTTTTATTAGTTTTAATAACTAAAGGTGTAAGTATATGTGTTTATATGTTATAGTCACGCAATATTATGTTATTACTTTAAGTACATAAAAATGTTATATAAATCAAGAATATTCGTGCAATTGATTACAATATCTATTTCATATAATATATTATAATATATTTAAATATTATATTACAATTAAAATTAGAAAAAGATGGTTTTTGATATAAAGAAAATTTTGTAATTTATTGTAATAATATATGTTTGTTATAAAAATGAAATTTAATTATAAAAAATTATAATAATTGCAATATAAAACTATAATTTATTTGATCATAATTGTTGTTTTGGTTACAAATGCTTTACGCAATAAATTATATAACTGTATCCAATGGTATAATTGTCATATTAATAATTATTATTAATTAAAATAATATACTATAAGTATTATTTCTATTGCACTATAATTACTGTATTTCAAATAAATAATAATTATTATATCTATATAATCTCATATATATAAGAAAACATAATCAGCAAAAATATCACAAAAAAATTGTTTTTTATATTAATGACTGTATAGACACTACAAATGTGTGTCCAAAAAATGCTATAAAGTTTGAAGTCTAAGACAAATAAAAAGGCAGAAAACATATATACGTCTGTAGTGTATATGTATTGACAACAACAGAGGCATTAGTTTTAACAGTAATAACAAACATAGAGTGGAGTAATGTTTTGACGAAAAATAGGAGATCTCTTAATTAAAGCATTCATTTCAATGACCCAAACGTATGGCTCATTCACTAGCATTCAAAATCGTGTCATTGATTGCTTGTTTAGTTAGTTATTGAGAGATAGAAAGAAAGAAAGAAAGAAAGAGAGAGAGAGAGAGAAAGCTTAAGGCTTTTAGCACAGGCAGAAAAATCGTACGATTCCTGAATATTCGTGTACTTTATGGCAACTGTAAGAGTAATGTTATGTTTGCTCACAATTTTTGTTGTTATTTTTGTTGTCTATATATATATAGTATAAATTGCTTATCCAATACATACAACTTCAATGAATTTTCATTTATCTTTGAAAATCTATTTTTGTTGCTATTATACAGAATTTGAATCATTAATACTTTTTCTACCACTTTGTCAGTAATGGTCTAATATATCAATAGTATTTCAAGTTTGGGTCTTAATTATACAGTATGTTATATATATTCCGGTTGTATTACTGTTTATTATTATTTTCACTACACATTATTGTAATTTAAAGTAATTATATACAATATAACTTAATTAACTAGTAATTGTATAACTAATTTAGTTTTTTTTATTCTATTGTTATGTAATATAATTAGAATTTTATACTTAATATAATAATAATTAAAAATTGTTAGATTAATAAATTTTGAAAATAAACAATCAAGTAAATTAATATAGATTACTTAATATAATTTATGCAAATTAATAATTTTACTATAATATACTGTACATAATAATAAAGATTCATTACAAACATGCATTTTATAATGCTTTTGGTTTTAAAGTTTTAAAAATCAATTACTAATCAATGTTTGACTACTGTTTTATATTATATTGTTATAAAATTACGACAAATACTTTAAAAGTCATATAAAAGTTTACAAAACATAACATAATAGTTTAATCCGTTTTATTGTTGTGTTTTAATGCATTGCATTTAAAAGACAGGGTTTGTCTATTTTTTATGAGTTAATTCAAAAACCTATAAATATATATATATATATATATATAAAGCTATCAAATACTAATCGTAAAATAAAAATAATAGAAAATGCTAAATAATTTTGAAAATACTAATAAAACTATATATAAATAATTAAATAACGCTTTTTTGTTAGTCATATAATCTATCTATAACTCTATTGGAGGCATTGTTATTGATAAATAAAACTGTAAGTAATACTAACAATAATAAATTATAACAGATATATATATTTGTTGAGAGATGAAAAATAAATTGTATTTGTAATCAATTTTTTCTGTGTGTTTCAACAATAGAGTCATAATATCATACAAAACAAAGGTTTTTATCAATTCATTTGAGATCATCTTTTACTTTGTTTCCACACAAACGATGCGATCAAATAAAATAAATATTTGCTTTTACTATAAAGTATATGAATTTTGATGTATAAGTTTCTGTATATAATATCTATTCATTCAGTTTCCACAATTCCTTCCCCGCTTTCCCTCCCTTTCCCACTATATCCTCAAAATTCTGTATCATTTTCTCTATCACACACACACACACACACACACACACACACACACACACACACACACACTCACACACACACACACATACATACATACATAGAAACACACACACAGATACATACATACATACATACATAGAAACACACACATACATACATACATATATACATACACACACAAACACACACAGACACCAAACTGGTAACACAATAAACCGATCCATTAGTTAAAGTCATATACGTGTGTCAAATAGACAGTAAAATAATTGTTATGAAGATAACAAAACATAAAATTTCTATATATGTTATATACATAGTGTGTATGTTTTAATAATTGCATGATTTTCACGTACATTACTGTTTGTATATACAGTATATATACCGATATATAGTGTGTGTATACACATAATGTGTTGGAATCTGTCATCACTTTTTGATGATTATATGGGAAATAAAATAAATTTTGTTTGACATAAAATGAGTTATGACTTACGAGTTTGATATACGAGTTTTTGGTAAAAGTCAAAGATAGACATTTAGATTGACAATTGTATCAAATTTATTCAGAGAGAGAGAGAAAGAGAGAGAGAGAGAGAGAGAGAGAGAGAGAGAGAGAGAGAGAGAGAGAGAAAGAGAGAGAAAGAGAGAGAGATAATAATAGTGATGCAATTAAATAATAGGATTATTGAATTGACTCCCTTTTCCTAATACAATGACCAATATTGTATATACAACATTATGTTAACAATAATAAAATTATTAATATTGAATATATTGAATATATTTTTTCGCTTACATTAGCAGACATTGTATGTTTATTTGTTAATTGTACGATACATTAACGGCTAATGGTGTTGCCATTAAAATATAAGCCAATAATTATTTCATAATGTGTATCCTATATAAGCTATATAAACATCAATATTTTTTTTCTCTCTCTCTCTCTCTCTTTCCTCTTGATATTTACAATGTTTGTGTAGATTATGTTTGAGAAGATAAATGTTTTCCAGTTTGCACTGTATATGCAATTAAGCAAATGTTGTTTTCAGATATTTATTAAATAAAAATAATATCAATATTTACAGCAAAATTAATTGAGTGTCTTTAAATAAAAATAATAGATACTGTATCATACATTAAACATTATTGTATTTTTAATATACAATATATACTGTACTATATTTGCAGTATTATATAGCTTTAGATCCCAAATGGTTTAATTCAAAAAATATTTGTTACACAGAATATTCTCAAAGTGTGTGTATGTTTTTTCTCATAAATTGATTATCAAAATTGTTACCAATAAATAACTCAAAATATAACAATATCTTTATATAAATACATTATATATTGGATATAAATGCAAATAACGATACATCTAGTAATTTACTCAATTTAATGTACAAATATTTACATATTTAGAAAATTAGTTAATACTATTAAGAGAAAAGAAACACAACATAGGTTAACATTAATACATTTGAATATTTTTTGTTAGTATTGTTTTATAGCATAAAAGTATTTACAATATATTTTGTTTATTTTAACGGCAGATTATGTAAATACTTGTTATATGCATTTAAATTTTCTTAATTAATTTTAAATTATAATACAATAATAATAGACTAACATATATATTATAAAAAGACAAAAATTATGTTATAATTTATATAAAAAAATATTTTTTTTCACTAAACTATTTTTCAATTTGTATTTCAATCAATTTTATTATAACAAATTGAATTATATAAAGAATGAGTGCACTAATATATTATATAATAAAAATCTAAATTATACCTATGTTAATAATAAATCTATATATAATATTTTTATTAGTAATAAAATTGTATGGTTATTTTATTTGTAGAAAAACAAATCAAATATTGTAATCATAAAAAGATAGCAAATTGAACATTATATTTGTTATATAATATTTTTTTACATTATCATCATTCAGCCCACGTTTGAGCTAATAATTTTTAAATTTATTATTTGATACTGATTTTATATTTGATAAAAATTTTGTTTTATTTCTACAAAAAAAATATTATTTATAACTAGTAATTTGTTATTTTTGCAACTAAATTCTGTATATTTAAAAACTATAGTATTTTAAATATCATTAGATAATGTTTTTTCATCAATTATATTACATGATATATATATACTGTATATACGGTTTTTGTTATATCCTAAGCAATATATCACTAGTTTTTATGTAATATTTCTTTTTTTAATCTTAACAATAATGTTAAAGAAATTAAACTAATTTCATGTTAACTTTTTATATTAGAGTATAAATATTTATGGGCTAATCAAATATAAAATATCAACTCTGTTAATGTTATATACTGTAAAAGTTTATCTCTATTCAGTTAGATAATAAAAATCAATTAAAATTAAATAAGATATTAGTATAACAATGACACACATAGTATATACTGTATATATATTTATAATTTTATAATAAAAATATATTATCAGTAAAAGTCAGTTCGCATAGAATATAATTTAATACCTTATAATAGCCTTAAATATAATTAAATTTTAACGTTAAAGAAACAGGTAGTTATTGTTAACATCAATTGTCTAATAATAGATTATAAAAATAAATTTTTCCATAAAAATAATTTAAGATAGTTGTTGTAACAGATTTTTATATTAAATAAAATGTACTTTATATGAAATATTGCATTATTTTATAAGATTTTTTCGTTTAATTTAATAATAATAGCCTATAACATACCGGTGCGAACTCTCGGAGCAGTCTATCTTCTCAGTCGGTGGCAATGTCTCGAAGATTGGCATCACTTCCAGCGTTCACTCCTTTGACTGATTTTATTTTTTTGAGTTGAGTTTTCAAACAAGATTTGAATCAATAATATTTTTTTTGCTCAAAGTTTTTTTTTGACTCAATTATTATTATTGTTGTTATTATCGATGAATTATTTTTATTTATTTTTTTTCTGAAATATCTTCACTAATGGTGGTTATCTCTGTCAGACTCAAGTTGTCGACAACAAGTCACACAACGATTCAGTGGCTATTGATTGATACACAAAATATTGGTTTAAAAATATATATATATATATATATTATTTAAACGTTAACTTTATTTTTTTAAGACAAGTTTTCATTCACATACTATATATATATATTGCTTTTAAAGCATTTTTTATATATAAAAAAAGTCATATTTCATTGTTCTTGTCGATTATGTCAATAGATAGCTAACAATAAGTTATTAGTTATTACAGAAAATATACTTTTAACCGAATGAAAAATAATAATAATTTCATTTATAAATATAATGTTTTGTTAGTTCAGAAATATATATAAAAAATCAATTTTCTAAATATTTTTTCTTATAACGAATGAGCTAATAAAATAAATCTGTTTATAATTTTAAGAAAATGGAAAATTAAATAAATGATTACTTGAGAAAAAATAAAGAGAGAGAGAGAGAGAGAGAGAGAGAGAGAGAGAGAGAGAAAGATTAGCTAAAAATTTCAAACTATTAATAAAATATAAATTTAAAGCAACAACAAAAATTCAATGATTATAAACTCATAATGTTTTTGTAGAAAAATCAAAATAAAACAAATTGATTTACCAAAAATATTCCTCAATCTTATAAATAATTTTTTTTATATGAATCAACTGTATATTCTCAACGGTGTCGTTACAAATCAGGTTAAAAGCCAACATTTATAGTCATTTTCTGTATTTCTTAATAAATAAACGCCAACTTTATTGACATTAAGTTTACAAATAAGTCACAGAATATTCTATAAACGAATAGCTTATAAACAAAATTTATATATAAAAAATTGAGAATCTTTAAACGCATTGACAGACCATAGTATCAAACTGTCACTTACTTAGCATATATTTAATGAAAAAAAAACTTCAAAATTACAATTCAAATGACTACTTAAATAACAGGTAGTTATCAAACTCACATTCATATGTATTGGTAGCTTCTGTAGATCCAATGCACGACTGATAATTGATTTACTAAAAGCTTATTTAGTGTGTTATTCACGCATAAGTTTTATACATAATCTCACTTTCTATTCACTATTTCGTTTGACTTAACTCCGGCACCGATAACTGTTATTAACTTTAAGTGTACACTACATAACAGTGCCCAAAAAAAGAGGTATCACATTCAAGTTATACACACTATTACTATTGAACAGAAATTTTAAGGGCGCGCGCGGGCGCATACACACACACACACACACACACACACACACACACACACACACACACACATACACATATATATATACACACATACATATAGTACATACTGTATATATAGTGTATGATCATTGATATTAATTTGATTGCATTGTCAATGTCTTTAAATTGCTATTTACTGTACAGTGATTTGTGGTGTCATTTATAAAAAAAACTGAAATATTTTAGTTCAAATCTAATTTAGATCTAATATTAAAATTTTTAAAAGGTTATTATTTATGATAGTATAGATTTTGCTTATAAAGTATAATATTATTTTTATTTATTATACATATAATAATAAAACATTATTATTAACAAACAAAAAATAAATTATATGACAACTAATTAGTAATTACTTATATTTGAATATAAATGTAGTTTTAATACTTTGACATTCAAAATCTTCAAACTAATATGATTAGAGATGAACAAATAGAGCTTTCTAATAAATTTATCAGAATATTTCTAGAAAATTGCTGAGTAATAAATATTTATAAAAGTTTGAATACTCTGAAACTATTGGATCTTTTTAACGTAAGTAGCTATTTATTTATTATAGTTATGAATTAATGAAACAATATACAAATGGGATACATACATACATACAATATACATACATATAAAAAATTATATAATTATAAATAAAGTATTTGTAAAATTTTTTGCATAATTCAATTATTTCATAATAATTTTTGATGATTAAATATTATAAAAACTAACTAATAAATAAATTTGTTACTTTAAATATAAATAAAAATATATTTAATAATTATATTTATTTAGTTATTATTAATAATTATCATATAATGTTATGCTACTGATTAACTAAATACAAAAAAAAACTAATTAACATGGGGAATTTAATAAATAGATATTTTAAAGAAAAGTTTTTAAAAATTTCCTTTTTATCCAACTCTATATATATAACTTAAACTTAAGATATCAAAAAAAAGTTGAATCCAATTAAAATAATGGATAATTATTTATAAAAATTAGATTAAAAGTTATGTGTCTATAAATATAGTATTTGAAAATATATCTTTTAATAATCGTGAATATAATGTATATACAATATAATATAGTATTTATATTATATAATATCATACTTTATACAATAATGCCACTATTCATAAGTATATTCAAAATTCATAAAATTGAAAAAATACTGATATTAATAAACTATTTTAATAAAACTTTTGTGTAAAATTAAATGTTGAAATTGCTTTCCATTCAAATATTTTATAGTTAATATTTAAAATATAATATAATAGACAAAATAATTATAATTTTTTCAATTTCTTGTAATAACAATAAGCTTTTTGACAAATTTTAACAAAAGCTTTTTAATTTTAAAAATGTCATTAAAATTAATTTTGTTTTTATATTTTTACTAAATTAAAATACTTATTATTCAGCATTTTTTTATTAAATTAACCAATCTATTAATACTTTTTATAATTACAATATAAGACCTATTAAGTAAATTACAATTATATTTTAATGCTATTTATTAATTAGTAAATTTATTTTTTATCTAATTATATAATCTATTAACTAAATAAAATTATATTTTTAAATAAAATCTTCATTCAATTCAAACTTAACTAATTGAATTCAAGTATTAATTATAAAATTATTTACAGAATATCATAAAATATCTTAAAATTGAACTGTCTTTTTAATTATATATTTAAATAAGTTTTAACAAATGAATAATTTTTTATAATTTTGTTTTTTTCAATACAAAAGTGTGATTAAGTTTAGCGTTTAATATTAATTTTCAATTTGTTTACAATACTTTAACATTAATTTGTTTTATTAGTTTTATACCCATAATTCCCAAGTGATTAGCTATTTTAGCCTATTTTAGTGAAAAGTAATCTTTTAAATTGTTGTCTACAATTGGGATAAATTATCTGAAATCTATTTTTTTTAATCAGTCATATGATATATAAATATTGTAGTATCACATGAATCATGTGATTAATTATCTTATTTTACTTTATAAAATAATGTTATTTTTAATTTGTTTTAAACTTTCAATAGTACTTCAATAATTTTAATTAAAATAAATTTAGTCAAAACTAAAATTTATCAAAAATAAAAACATGTTTTACTAGTCATATAAATTAGAATTATTATAAATTTAAATAAAATTTATTATTATTATTTTTTGTAATATCTCAGAAAATAATTCAAATGTTTTAATTTTTTTTCCAAATATAATTCAATTACTAATAGTGCTAATTAATCAGTAAATATAATTATAAAAAAATGCAATCATCTAATACATTATCATACAATAAAGTGCACGAGTGGTGACACTAAACAATCATAATATCAGTGAAATTATTGATTTATTTTACAAAAATATTTTGATTTACAAACACATGAGTTCGCACTATTATTATTAAACTTAACAATTATTTTTCAGAAATCAATACGATTTATTGTAAACTTTTATACATTAAAAAAATTTAAAAATACAAATATTACAGATATTATTTATCAATCTATATTAATTCAATAGAAAAAAATTTAAAAAATACAATACAATATTGATTACAACTTCAATATTAATGTGTTAAAGATATTAAACATAAAACTATTTTTTAAATAAATAATCAAATATATAGAAATATTTTACAACATTTTTAAAATCTAATAAAAGTATTAGTAAAAAACATAATATATTGAATATATATATATAACATGTATTTTTGATAATAATTATAAAAAAGTAGACAATCCTTCATTTATTACAGATATTTTGTCGATCACTTGGCAGACCTTCTTGTACTCCCAAGAGTTGCCTTTAAGTCGTTTTCTATGAATCACAAGCCAATGATCATCTGTTTGACAGATCTCCAGATTGAACGACAATATACTTGTATTCATTGATTTGATTTGACATTTTAGTACAAAATTGCTAATAATTAAAAAAAAATAAGAATAAATAATTAGTAAATAACAATTAAAAAATAAAGCAAAAAAATAATTAGCGATAATAAAAAAAATGAAAATAAAACTAACGATTTGTGTGTAAAGCTGACACCGCGAACCTTCAGTATTTCACTGATCTGTCGGGTCAATAGTTTCGGGTCAGTGAACTTGGTTCGGGTCACATTTGGCTGGTCGTCCGACAATTTCAGTATACGTGGCTTACGACTCTTGGTCGGTGTCGCCGATTCAAGAAATCTCTTAAGCAGTGTCTTCTTTTCGCACGACTTCTCAGCTAATCCTGAAGTATTTGAATAGCCATTTGTTGGACTATTTGTCGATCGGTTCGGTGTATTGTTGTTGTTGGCCATTGTTAACGGATTTTTGCGTTGAGAAGTCACACCAATTGCCGTATTATTAGCCATATTTCTAATCAATTGCTGCGAATCTCTGGCCACTGGACTGACGCCTCTATTGAACGGCAATTTTCCCGGAGTCCTGAATGGACTGCCATTGTTATAGAGTGCTGTATCGGCTCTCAAACGATAAGTCTTAAGAGTATTAAAGTCCATCTTTTGTTTCTTAATGTCAGTTTGGCTGACGTCTGATAAATAAATTTTATAAAATTTTAATAAAATGAAAACATTATATTATCGTTAGTTATATTTATAAATAAATATAAAAAAACTAATAGACAAACCTGAAGACGACGAACACGTATCGACACTTCGACTTCTTCGTCGATTTCTGGCTTCAAGTTTAGGTAAAGAAGGAGCCAAATCCTGTTGCAGTTTCTATAATCACATAAAATTAATTTTAATATATTATTAATACAAATTATAATACAAACCTGAAAGAGATCCATATTTCTTTTGATTAGATAATAGGTGGCCGTTGTATAGCCATAACTTGTTAGACAATTTCGCTCCAATTCGTTGTCATTGATTTGTGGAAACTTTAGTCTACAGATATTTAAGACATTCATATGCGATGGTCTCACTTCATAACCAATGTTCACAATAGACTCTCGACTCATGTAATGGCAAAGCCAGGGATGTGTCTTCAGTTCATAAATTGTAGCTCTAGTTTGTGGATTCACATCCAACATACGAGAGATCAGATGCTGAGCGTCTTTGGAAATACTTAGAGGAATTGGATAAAAACCCGACTGTCCATAAAAAACACAGAACCGACGATCCATTTAATGTCAATATATGGTTAATATTTAAAAAATATTTTTACCTGTATTTTACTATAAAGAACAGGTAGACTGATGTCATCAAAAGGCAGAGTTCCGGTAAGCAATGTGTATAAGAGGACACCAGTACTCCAGATATCCACTGCCGAACCCAAATAACCCCTTCCATGCAATAGTTCCGGTGCCGCGTAAGCTGGACTACCGCAGGCTGTCATCAATGGAACCATTGAATTATTTGTAGCCTAATTATAATAATAATGTTTAGTAATATTTATCATTAGGACTGTTATACAAGTTTATAATAGAAAATAAGTAGATACCCGACAGTGTGCGGCCAGTCCAAAGTCGATTAGTTTGATTTTATGATTCTTGTCAAACATAATATTTTCCGGTTTAATATCCCGGTGCGCGAAACCAGTGTTATGGATATAGTCGAGTACATCAAACATATCATTCATAATATCTTTGGTTTCATTTTCTGTCAAATGAGTCTTTGAAACTAAATAGTCGAATAGTTCACCACCGCTGCAATACTATTCAAAGATATCATCAATAAATAATCAAATGGTAAACAATAACAACATATATATATCAAAAATCATTAGCATTTACCTCAAGAATCAAATAGTAATACTTATTGGTTTCAATGATTTGCAATAGTTTTGCAATATTTTTGTGATCCAATTGTTTGAGTGCCAGTGTTTCGGTCTTAACTCGGGGTAAGTCAGACTAAACAACAACAACAAAAAAAAGACATACCATTTCAAGTGTATTAGCAAAAATAGACTGACCAACAACAACAAAATCATCACCAATTTAAAAAACCAACAAAACAACTGACCCCTAACTTTTGCTTATCCATACGTTTGATGGCAACCTTCTGGCCGGTAATTATATGTGTGCCCAATCTAACCGTTCCGAAACCGCCTGTCCATTAATGAAGATTATAAATATTAGATAATAGTTTTATTTTATTTTAATTATAGTAAACTATATATTTCCATACCTTCGCCCAACTTCTGTGAATGGATGTGATAACCGGCATATATGTCAATATCTTCACTTAGTATTGTCTTCCTGTCCATACCCGACATAATGATGGCATTAATCAATTCAAAAAAGTTTTTTATTGTTAGTCAAAAAATGTGTTCACTGATTGAGGTTTTCTTTATTGAAAAACACTATTTATTTAAAAAAAATTAAACTAAATGACATTCACTGATAATATTAATTGAATTACAAAAATAATTTGAATTTATCTCATAGTCTAACTCTATATGAATCATATATTGACTGTATATCGACTACTAACAGGTATTTGTATTTCTGAGACTTTTAAAAAAAACATTAACTCATTTGTCTGTTTGAAAATAAAAGTAAAATTTGAAATTTAAGATAAAACCAGTTGTCAACCAATCATAAGTCTAAACCTAACTTCTTATCAATGATTAAGTTTTGGTTTTAGTTTGAGTAAAGAGCTAATAAAATATTGTAAATATTAATCTCAAGTAATTGGAGAGTATGTGTGTGAAAGAGAGAGAGAGAGAGAGAGAGAGAGAGAGAGAGAGAGAGTTTGTATTGTATTGTAAATTAGTTAGTAATAGATACGATATAAAAGTTTTTCCGTTTATAAAAGTTTATCAAATAAATGATAAGTTTATTATATTGTATTATTTCTAATCATTAAATGTTAAGAAAAAAATAAAATAAATAATAATAAATAAATAAATAATTATTTAAAAGTTAATTTTTTTTGTTAAAAAAAATTAATTTGCAGTAATTGCAGTTATATTATTTAAATGAAATACACTAAATTAAAAATTATTTTTGGAAATTAAAACAAACGAAAATATTTTTGAATAAAATTCATTATAACATTAGGTATGCATTTATTTAAAAAAATTATTTTACGTTAATTAAAACTCATAATAAAAACTGTAATTTAAAAAAAATAATATTTTTTAAATTTTAATGTTTTTTTTTGATTAATAGTCAAAATTTCTAAAAATAAATGTTTACGTCATATATGTGTGATCTCTAGTAATATCTCTATTATATTATATTTTTTAGTCCTATATTTCCGGCACATGTATTGATAGCACACTCGACTCGAAACACAATTTTTCAATTGAATTGAATTCCATTAACCAATCGATTCATACAAACAGTGGTTTTATTCATTGAATCCATTGATTGATTGATTGAATTGTTATATAATTTATTGGTTTAGTATTATTAGTATTATTATTGATTACCGATTGACCAACGATTTGGTAGTTCAATGGCCGACACACTGATGATGATTAGCGACGATTCATCGACGGCGGACAACAACAACAAAATCAAGAAAAAGTCGGAAGTGATGGTCGAGATTATAGACGTCCGCATAAAAGACGGTAAACTCGGAATAAACAGTGTGTTTGAGGATATCGTCCACAATGGCCAACAATCGGGTACCGATACTACTGCTATTGTCGGCGGCGGCCAACAAATGAGCACTAATAATGGCAATGACGAATTGATACCGATTCAGGCCAGTCCGACCACTACCACTGCTTCCATTAGTTCAACCGATCGGCCACTTTATACGGAAAACATTAAGAGTGAGTGGTATATACAAGACCCGCGACCGCAGCAGAAACAGCAGCGATTTAACAGCCGGCATATTACTTGTTACAATTGTGGCCAAACTGGACACGCAAAGCGCGACTGTCATTTACCCGAAAAGCCAAACAAACAATTTCGTGGCCGTGAAAACGGTGGCAATAGATTTCAGCCCCGAAACAATAGTCGATATCCGAATAATGACAATAACGACTCGTGGTCTACTGATCCGTGGCCATTGCTATCAGATTCACGGTCTTCAAAGTCGGTGAATGAAGAACCGATTTGGATGGATGAACATCAACAACAACAACAACAACAGCCCATTAAAAAAGACGATAATTATAATATTAATGGTAAGATTGAGTCAAAAGAGTTGTTTCCCGAATTGCCGAACTATTACTTAAACCAATCGCTAAGCGACATAACGTTTGTCATCGATGGTCAGCCATTGTTTGCCCATAAGTTTGTGTTAGGCGTCAAATCGGAAGTTTTTCGCGAGTATTTGTACGGCGAAAAAAAGTCATCAATCGATACCAAATTGGATGATAATATTGTGGTTCCAAAACAGGAACAGTCAACTGATTCGGTCGAATGGTGTGACGCCACGGGTGGAGATGCAATCAAAATGGAAAACGATAGCAAATGTGAGGTAATTGTTGACAACAATTGTGTGAACAATAGAGAAGAAACGAAAACAGCTGATGAAACTGTTTTACAAAATAATGGAGAATCGGTTCAAATGGAGACAGACTCGGAGGCTAAATGTGATGTCCAAATGGAAATCGATGGTAAATGGTTACATAAAACGAATATTGAATTAGAAAATGTAAACAACGAAGCCTTCAAATTGTTGTTGAAATTTTTCTACACCGATAACCTGGAACTCCAAATTGGCGATAAAGACAACGACTTTTCGGTAATTACCGAACTAATCAAATTGAGTGTCGAATATAAAGTGGACCGTCTGTTAGCTCAATTGCAGCGCGAGTTGACCACCAAACTGACCAACGATAATGTGATCAATATATGCAAACTATGTCTCGACTATACTCTGCAAACACTTGAACGAGACATCGATAAGTATATTCAGATGAATGGCCGACAAATAATAGAGGAAAACAACTTCATTAGCGAATCAATTGGAGTGATGATCAAACTATTGAAACTGATGCCAAACAACGAGATAATTATGGGTTTGAGAAAACTGAATAAATTGAAACCGGATTTGGATATCAAACTGTTCCGCGAGTGTATCAATCTGGACAAGTGCTCCATTCGGGACATTGACGCCATCATTGAGATGAATCTCGTTGACAGAGGAGAGATGTATGATGTGCTCAGAAAACGGATTCCTGTCTAAAAAAAGTCTGAAGATTGATCCAATTGAAGATATAAAATGCTAATTATTATTATTTTTTACAATCTTTTTTTAAAAAATTCAAATCGATTTATTGTTATCTAAACTAAAAATAATTTTTGTTTTCGTTGATAACTAACAGTATTTTTTTTGTAATTTGATTTCTATGTAATGTTAAGTTTATTATAATTATTATTAATTATTACTCAATATTTGTATTACAGGTAATGTGTAAACATTTCCATTGAATTATTCAATTTTTTGTTTGTTTTTCATTTATTATTTGCTAGTTATTTGACATTTGAATTAATATTTACTTAATTTTAAATATATCGTCTAAATACAGTATAAGCTATTGTATAATACTAATAATAGCTTTCGTTACCATAAATTATATAATAATATCGATTAATATTTTTTTGAATATAATAAAAATTTTGTTAATTAATATTTTTCTAATTAACTAATAAATAAATAATACATGAATGTCAATCATTACCGATTATTTGATTAATATATTTGTAATTATTATACAAAAAAATCTCTTATATTGTAATCTTTAATATAAAATAAATTGGTTATAAATATACACTAGTTAATTTTTAAACAAATATTTGATTTACTTTAATTTTTACTTGTATTTAGTTTTTTCCAATAAAGTTCATTTAAATATTTCAATTTAATTTAAGTATTTCACTATTAATTAATTCATTGATATAAATTTTATCGTATTGTACCGGTAGTGTAATACAATACAATTATTTTATAGTGCATATTAAGATATAAAAACTTACTTTACTTAATAATTTATAAATAGCTATTAATGTAAAAATAGTACAATACTGTTTATAGATTTTTTTATAAATTAATCAATCAATGAACTGGTAATACAGTACATAAAAAACAATATTGATTTGATTTAATACAAAAAAATATTAATAGCAGAAACACTAATAGAATATTCTGTAAATAAATGTTTTTGAATTTTATTTTAGTTTTTTCATTCTCTCCATTTGAATCCAATTTATCACAAATTTTAATGGGATTTTCGTGTTAATGAATACTTTAGATAAGGCTTTCGTTTGTATACTATATACATGTGTTTTGACTCAATAAATGGTAACACTTTTATATAATAAGTGCATATAAATTAATATTTTGTCAGATAAATAATCTTATAATTAATTGCTTTTAGTTTTTTTAGATTAATGTTCATCAGAACTAAAAGCATATTAAATAATTTAATGGAAAAAACTATTTAACTTTTATTCTTTTGAAAAATATTTTAATAACTAAAAATATAAATTATATAATAGCAATAAATTATTAATTAAGTTATTATGATATTTTTATTTACTATCTTATAAATTCATTGAAATAAATAGTTAACATTTGTACTGTATAATGGATTTTTTTCAAAAATTAAAATAATAATATTACAAGAATTGTTTAAATTGTATATAAATATAATATTATTTAGTTTATTGATTATAACTCTTATATAATTTGCTAAAGTTTTTATTAAAAAACTAACACAAAAAATTGTTACATGAATTGAATTTATAGATCTTTATCTATATATCGTCAAAAATTTTCTCATTATCTCTCTCTCTCTCTCTCTCTCTCTCTCTCTCTCTATGTGTGTGTGTGTGTGTGTGTGTGTGTGTAAATTCAAAGCAAATTTGTCGGTCAAAATTGTATTCATAGAGATTGATAGAGAAAGAGAAATAAATAAGTGCCCGAAAATACAAAAATAAAGTTATCCATTGATCGATACATAAAAAACAGTTATCAATAGTATGATTGAGTTTTTGTGTGTATGTTTTTTATATGGCATACAATTTGCTGGTTGTATTGAATACATTTCACACAAAACACACATACACACACATACACACACACACACACCATATCATAGGAATTGATACCAACTGTATTTTTTTGTGCTTACTCTACACAAAATAATAGCAAATTTATCAATAAATGGTAAGTAGGTTTACAATTATTTATTAGATTTGTGTTTCACTTTATTCATAAAAAAATTATATCATTGAGTTTAGATATACTGTAGAAAAGAGAGTTAACTCAATGAACAAAGTGTTGAATGTTAACAAAAAAAACAGCGATAGAGTTAACTCTTTTAATATACAATACAGTATACCGTATAATAGTTTTGTACTGTACGTCGACTCCGATAAGAAAACGGCGTCGACTTATTTTTACATACCGTTCCCCTGGAAAAAGCTATCGAAACTGTGAGTTCTGGAAAATACAGCACACATTTGATATCTAAGCGCTAGAAAAGTTGGGTAAAACTGTTGTGTTTACACTATTAGATCAAACTATATTGATATATATATAATAAATTATATATTGTATACGATATACCTGTGTATATAACAATTTAT